TCTTCCTAGTTTCTTTCAGGTAGAGTTTATTGGTTTGAGATTTTTCTTTTTCTTTTTAATATTGACATTTGCAACTATACATTTCCCTCTAAGTGTTTCTTTAGTTGAATCCCATGAGTTTTATGATGTGTTTCATTTCCATTCCTCTCAAAGTACGTTCTAATTTTCTTTGTAAGTTTTCTTTGATCTATTGTTTATTTAAGAGAATGCTGCTTTACGGCCACATATTTGTGAATTTCCCAAATTCCCTCTGGTTGTTTATTTCTAAAGTCATTGCAGTGTGGATGGAGAACATACATTGTATGATTTTAATTCTTTTGAAGTTATTGAGACTTGTTTTATCGTCTCAGACATGGTCTATCCTGGAGAATGCTTCATGTACACTTGAGGAGTATGTGTTTTCTGCTGTCATTGGATGAAGTATTCTATATATGTCTGTTAGAACTAGTTGGTTTTATTGTTTTTCAACTCTTCTATTTCTTCGTTGATCTTCTGTCTACTTGTTCTGTTACTGAAGTGGGGCATTAGATTTTTTCCAACTGTTATTGTTGAATTGTTTATTTCCCCTTTCAGTTTTGTCTGGTTTTGCTTCCTGTATTTTGGGACTCTGTTGTTAGGTACACACATGATTACAATAGATTCTTACGTAACACAATCTATCTTTTTGATAGACTGACAATTTTATTATTATTGACAATTTTATCATTATAAGATGTCCTTTTTCTCCCCTCTAGTAGCAGTTCTTGTCTTAATGTCCATTTTGTCTGATATTAGTATAGCCACTCCAGCTCTCTTTTGTTTACTGTTTGCATGGTGCATCTTTTTAATCTTTTTTTTTTTTGTGGTATGTGGGCCTCTCACTTTTGTGGCCTCTCCCATATTTTTAAATAAATAAAATTATTTTTAAAAAGCTCAGCAAACTAACAGAAGGAAATTTCCTCAGCTTGATGAAAGGTATCTACTAAATACTCTCAGACAACTTAATTTTGTATGACTAAGAGTTTCTGTAAAATTGGTTTCATTTCTTCCTTAAATGTTAGGTAAATTTCAACAGCAAAACCAAGTAAGCATGGAGGGTTTTTGTGTGTGTAGAAGAAAGATTTTTAATAATTATTTCAAAAAATTTAATAGATATAGGAATATGGCAAAAATATTTACTCTCACTTCTTCTAGCTAACATTTTACTGGAGGTCCAAAACAGTGAAAAAGATATAAATGATATGCAGATTGGAAAGAAAGAAAGCTATCTTTATTTGCAGACAACATAATTATGTGTGTAAAAAATCCCAAAGAATCTACAAAAAAGCCAGTAAGACTAACAACTGAGTTTAACAAGGTCATAAGATGCAAGGTCAACATATAAAAATCAATTTTATTTTTATGTACTAGCAAAAACAAATGAAAAATGAAATTAAAGAATGATACAATTTATGGTAACATCAAAAAGCATGAAATATTTAGAAATATATCAAACAAAATACATGCAAAATTTGTATGCTGCAAATTACAAAACATTTCTGAGAAAAATTAAACACAATCTCAAATAAAGGCAGAGTTGTACCATGTTCATGGATCAGAAGATTTATTATTATTACAATATCAGTTCCTTTTAATTTGACCTATAGATTCAATGTAATCCCAATCAGAATCCCAGGAGGCTATTTTTTATACAAAATGACAATCTGATTCTAAATTGTATAAGTAGTAAAGGATCTAGAATTACTGAAACAATTTTAGAATAAATAACCAAATTGGAGGACTCACATTACCTAATTTCAAGACTTACTATTAAGCTATAGTAATTAAAATAATTTCTTCTGGGCATAAAGATAAACATATGAAAAAAAAGAACAGAAATAGACATATATCTATGGAAAATTAATTTTTGACAAAGATGCCGAAGTAATTTGTAAGGAAAGAATAGCCTTTTCAGTCAATGGTGCAGAAATTATTGGACCTCCATATGCAAAATCATTGAATTTCTACTCTTATTTTATCATTTACAAAAAAATTAATTTTGCGTGGATCAGAGACATAAATATCAGTTATAATAATAAAAATTTTAGAAGAAAATGTAAGAGATTTTTGTGATGCTGAGTTACACAAAGATTTCTTAGATATGACACAAAAAACAAAAATTATTAAAAAATTGATAAATTTTTTATAATCAAAATTAAAAGCTTCGGGCTTACCTGGTGGTGCAGTGGTTAAGAATCCACCTGCCAATGCAAGGGACATGGGTTTGAGCCCTGGTCCGGGTAGATCCCACATGCCACAGAGCAACAAAGCCTATGTGCCACAACTACTGAGCCTGAACTCTAGAACCCCGAGCCACAGCTACTGAGCCCATGCATCTAGAGCCTGTACTCCAGAACAAGGGAAGCCACTGAAATGAGAAGCCCATGCACCACAACGAAGAGTAATCCCTGCTCACCGCAACTAGAGAAAGCCCGCGTACAGCAACAAAGACCCAACGCAGCCAAAAATAAATAAATAAAATAAATAAATTTATAAAAAGAAAAAATTAAAAGTTTTTCTCTTTGAAAGAGAATGCTAGTAAAAATGCAAGCCATCGACTGGAAGGAATATTTGCAAAGAACTGCAAATGTAAATGTTTGTGTAGGCTTTCTTCATAATTGCCCCAAACAGGAAACAATCCAAATGTCCATTTACTGGTTAATGGATAAACAAATTTTGGTACATCCACACACTTAAACCCTACTCAGCAATGTAAAGGAATAAGCTAATGATACATGCAGCAAAACAGATAAATCTCAAAAGCATTGTGCAAAGAGAAACACTGTACACATAAGGTTGTAGGACTGCAGGAATCCATTTATATGACGTTCTGGAAAAGGCAAAAATATAGGGACAAATATCAGAACAGTGGTCACTAAGGGTGAGGATGGGGAAAAGGGGTTGAATGTGAAGGGACACAAAAGACCTTTTGAAGTAATGGATATGTTATATATTTTAGATTGTGATGGTGGCTATGTGACTATTTACGTTTGTCAAAACTCATGGAAATGTGTACTTTAAAGGGTGAATTTTACAGTATGTAAATTATATTTCAATATACCTGAGCAAAGGAAAAATAAAGAGAATGGTAAGAGAGGAACTGTAGACATCACAAAAAGAGACAAGTCTCTCAAGGAGTTTTGCTGAAAATGAGAGCATGAAATGGGACATTTGCTGGCAGGTGAAGTAAAATCACAGTGAAGTGAAGCTTTTAAATTTTATCTTACAACTTTTTTTTTTTTTTTTTTTGCGGTACGCGGGCCTCTCACTGTTGTGGCCTCTCCCATTGTGGAGCACAGGCTCCGGACGCGCAGGCTCAGCGGCCATGGCTCACGGGCCTAGCTGCTCCGCGGCACGTGGGATCCTCCTGGACCGGGGCACGAACCCATGTCTCCTGCATCGGCAGGCGGACTCTCAACCACTGCGCCACCAGGGAAGCCCCTTGCAACTATTTTTGGATGATGGAAGCAAGAGCAGTGAGTTTGTTCATTGATGAGAATAGTCCAATAATGAGGGAAAGGAATTAATGGAACAGTGTCCCTGAATTTGTGCACACAGTTGGAGCCATGGCCGCTGGGCCTGCGCGTCCGGAGCCTGTGCTCCGCAACGGGAGAGGCCACAACAGTGAGAGGCCCGCGTACCACAAAAAAAAAAAAAAAAATGAGGCATGGATTATCAACAGGAGTTCAGCCCATGGCTTTTGAACCTACCTATCCTGCATCCTGTCTCTCTAGACGGCATTTATCACACTAATGCCTTTCCCTCTCCCCTAAAAACCTGTTTTTTCTCTTTATCCAGTATCCCCACCTCAGTAAGTGCCACGATCATTGGAATTTTCTTTGTTTCCTCCCTTTACCTCCACCCCCTGTTGCTTCCATCTTCAGGTTATCAGGAAGTCCTCTTTGTCCTTTCTTCAAGACATCTCAGGGGACTGACTCCTTTTCATCTCTATTTCCCATTACCTTAATCAAGACCATGACCACCATCTTTTACTTGGATTACTGCAATGGCTTCCGTAATTATCTCTCTGCTTAAGCTCCCTGCGTGCGTGGAATCAATTATTCATCATAGCATACAAAATTCTATCTGACCTGAATCTTGCCTATTTCTCAAACCTCATGTCATACACTCTCCCCTTGCTTACTCTTGTCTGGCTGCACTGATCTCCTTTCATTTCTTTGAACGTCACACACACTTTCTGCTCTTTCTGGCTCCAGGTATTTTCTCTGGCCCTTTGTGTGGAATGCTCCTCCATCTGCTCCTTAAATGGCTGGCTCTTTCTCATCTTTTAAGATCCCTGCATAGTTGCCACCTCCACAGAAACGTCTTCCCTGGCTACTTTATTTAAAGGGCATTCCCTAACCCAATTCTCATTGTGTTTATAATAGTCTAATCTCTTGTGTTTTGCTCCTGTTCCTACAATTTTTTTAGTTTATTTCTCCACTAGACTGAATATACAAATGGACAATAGCCACACCATCATAAAAATAGAACTTTGACTCACAAGCTGCAGCAACCTGCCCAGTAAACCAGCCCCCTTATCTACAATAAACAATCCAGGAAACCAGCCTGCTTTAAGTCAGACTTGCGGGAAGCCAGATTGCTACTTCCAATGACAATCCAGGGAGCTAAACAATATTTCTGTGACAATGGGCCCCAAATGCTGATTGATTAATAACTGACAGCTTCTCTAATTTTTTTTTTTTTTTTTTGGCTGTATTGGGTCTTCGTTGTTGCACGCAGGCTTTCTCTAGTTGCGGCGAGCAGGGGCTACTCTTCGTTGCAGAGTGCGGGCTTCTTATTGTGGTGGCTTCTCTTGTTGCGGAGCACAGGCGCTAGGAGCATGGGCTTCAGTAGCTGCAGCACGCGGGCTCAGTAGCTGTGGCTCGCAGGCTCTAGAGTGCAGGCTCATTAGTGTGGTGCACAGCCTTAGTTGCTCTGCGACATGTGGGATCTTCCAGGACCAGGGCTTGAACCTGTGTCTCCTGCATTGGCAGGCAGATTCTTAACCACTGTGCCACCAGGGAAGTCCCAGCTTATCTAATTTTTAAGTCCCTTCTAACATAGGACTAATCAAAGGAAGCCAAATATGCACCCCTAACCAATTATATAGGATGCCCTGCTTCTAGTTTGTGTGCCTATAGCTTCCCCATGCTAACAGCCTCCAATCAGGCCATACATGAAGTCTTCCTTTCTTTCCACTCTAAAGCTTTCCCACTTCCCTACCAGCCTTTGAGTTTCTGCCAAAATGCAGCTACTCCCTTGCTCTAGCAAGCTCAGGATAAATAGCCTTTACTTTTTTCATTTGATCTTTGTTTATTTCCATAAGACTATAAAGAGAAATGGACCATGCCTTGCTTACAATTGTATCACCAAGGCAACAAATAAGTGAATGAATGAATGGAAAACTAAAATCATTAGTTGGGTAGTCAATCGTTCCCCATTCTGGCTTCAAACTTATTCCTTGCTATAGCCACTCTTACATCATCCAAGCTCACTTTCTCAACCAAATCACATACTTTCTTTTCTATAATACAACTGAAGTTTCTTCTTCTCCATGAAACGTTATTTTGATTACCTGAGCCCTTACTTACGCTCCCTTCTCTGAATTCATATAGCACACACCACCCCATTTGGTTTTTAATTTCTCTCAGTTCATAAGGGGTCTACTCTTCTGGGATTGATGGCTGAATATTTTGGTACCATTCATGATGTCTAGCACAAGCTATGATACAAAAAATAATGATAATAACAACAGACTCTTGTAACAATGCTGAGGAAGATAGACTGCTACTATTCTCATTTTACATATGAGGAAACTGAGGCACAGAGAGACCAATTCTTTTGCCTAAATTAGTAAAAAGTAGAGCTGAGGTTTGAATTCAGTTCTGCCCAACTTATATTGTGTATATGTCAAGCTACAGACTGTATGAACTACTTTTCATATACTGTGCACATATTAGGTCCTCAATAAATGTTGCTGAAATTAATGAAATAACCAAGTTCAAAAGTTTCATAAACAAAATGGAAAAACGAACAGAACTCTTCAGGATGGTTCCAAAAAGTTCAATGGAGCAAGGGACATGGTGACTAGATGAGATCAAGTACTGACTCCAAATTCTGCATTCTAACTCTAAGCTTCCTGCTGTGATTCTAAGGCAAGTCCTTTCTTCTCCAGGTTTCTTCACCCATCTCATGCTGTGTTGGTACTTCCACCTGCCTTGAGGCTGTTTCCCAAGGCGGAATCAAACAGTGGCTGTAGGATATTTGGTGATAGCATTAACAGTTCTCTCCTTGGTGAGCATATTAAAATCAATTCAACTATCCTTTCTGAGGAATAGAGCTGGGTGCTAAGGAGAATGCCATCACCAGGCAGGCTCTGTGCATGCCCTGTAACAGTTCGTGATAAGGAAACATGGAATTCAATTCAATGAAGACACAGAAAGGAAACACGGAATTCAATTCAATGAAGACACAGACCTTCCCCCACCTGCTGCATCAAAGTTGGAATTAATCACTATTTCATGTGATATAGATTCCTATATAATTTTGAATGTACATTGAGTAAAAGGATTGGAAAGATCTTTTTGGCTGGCTAAACATGAGGTGTTCTAATACTATTGTACCTGCAAAGTGTCAAGAATTTATTTCAGAGAAGATTTGAAAGCGTTTGCAAAGTCGTGTCGTATTAAACAGATATAAATGTAGTCTTTGTTTAGGAACGTTTCTTTGAAGGGGTCTGGGTAACATCATACCTGTCCTGGAAGCATGGAAAATTGTGATATGTGGTAACTATAATCAATGGAATCTGTGAGATTACCAAAGCATCTGGTACAAGGAAATTCTCCAGGGACAACCAACTCTGGACAATGCCCCTCACTCTCTCAGCCTTAGTGTGTCAGCAGCAAGCCTTGCATTATATGACATTCTGAAGGAAATGGATGGATGTGTCATCATTGAATCACTGAGAACTATAGCCCCAGCATGATCTCAACTATGAAAATACAGGTAAATATATAACATACATAACCTATACAGGTATTTGCATGCATTCACACCAAATTGTTAAGGAAAAAAACCCCAGAATTCTGCCACATGTAATTCATATATATATATATATATATATAAAGAATATATTCTTTTTCAGATTCTTTTCCATTATAGGCCATTATAATATATTGAATATAGTTCCCTGTTCTATACAGTAAATCCTTATTGTTTATCTATTGTATATATAGTGGTGGGTATCTATTAATCCCATACTGGGTACATGTAGCTTTAGTTTTCCTTATTCAGACTTTTCTGTATTTTTTGAATTTTCTATAATGAGCACGAATTACTTTTAACATTAGAAAAAAAATTGTTTACTATATTTAAATGTATTGTCACAGAAAGGGCAATTTCCTTCTAGGAGTAGCTTCTGAGAAATAGTCTCTTACTCATAAAGTTTTAAAACTGGTAGATTAAATATACTGGGTGTATAAGAGACACCTAATATATTTGTTTCATTTAATACCTGACCAACAGCTCCTAGTTTAAGGCATATTGTAAAGCTGACAGTAATTATTTATTAAAAAGGAGTAGCAAGTTACCACTTATGATTGGAAAATGTTGTCACAGAGTTTTGCAGTGCAGAACAATCCCTCCTATGTGTCTATTGCTTTCTCTGTACCCGTGTACGGTTGACAGTCTCAGTCTCTGTCTCTGTCTCTCTTTCTGTCTCTGTCCCTGTTTCTCTCTCTCTCTCTCTGTCTCTCTTGCAGCCCTGCAGTTGGAGGTAAGGAGGAGCCAAGAAGGACCTGAAACACCTCTGCACACATTTCAGTAACAGCCCATGTGGGAGAGCAGATACAGGGCTGATTGCTTAAATAAAAGTACCCTACCCAGAAGCTGTTAGAAACTGTCAGATCTTGAGGGGATATCATTGAGAAGGGCTTTTGATACTAAGTTGGCCTAAGTCCCAAAGCTTTATCTCATTGTTATTACATACCAAAAGATGTGTTAGCAAAAAGAATTTTAATCAATGTCTGGTATAAGGTCAGGATGAGCCTAAGTGACAGTTACTGATGGTAAAAGGCAGCAAGAAAAACACCAATTATAATTAAAATAGTCATTGAAACTTAGATTTTTAAAATAAACTTAGAAACTATCCAGCCCCAAAATTTTATTTACAGATGAATAAAGGTCAAAGAAAGCCCAAACAAGTTATATTTTAACTGAAGTTACACAACTTATTTTGGCAGAGCTGGCTCTGTACTGAGATTTTGAATATTCTGGTCTTTTAGCCATTTAGCTTCCTATCTTCAAGTTAATATTTCTTATAAAAAGGTTGGCATCACAAGGATAATTTTTAATGATTTTTCTGTTGACATTTATTTAGAGCCAATAATTGCTGTTTTAATTTAAAAAATATATAATCTGTGGGGGAAAAAACACAATGGAAAATAAATGGTTATAATCTGAATTTCACTTAATGAATATTCCCTGTATTGTTTAGATCATAAGACCCCCCAAGGACCAAGGTACTCAATGTCATCTAAGAGCAGAACAATCAATTTATCAAGTTTTGTTTTCTATTGATTCATGAATAGCCCACTTGAAATTCAAATTTACAAACTGTTAACCTCATCTTCACAAACACGTTTGACACTGGAGTTTAGAGTTTGGGAAAAAGAGTGACTGTTTTATTTGGCAGATTAAGAGAGTTGCAGAGAAGAGATTTGTTGTTTTCTTTGGCGGAAATTAAGAGAGTCCTTTTCCAGAGTTCAATGGCAATGCATGGAATTATTTCCTAAGCTTTAGGGCCTCATCTGAGGGAAATTCTGAGTTCTCAAAGTTTTACTTTGCTGAGCTTAATACTGATATAACTGTCCATTGGGCAAACTGGGGAAAGAAATGGAGCAGCAGAGTGTGTGTGTGTGTGTGTGTGTGTGTGTGTGTGTGTGTGTGTGTGTGTATGTGTGTGTGTGTGTATTGTAGGGGTAGGGGTAGGGGTAGTGGCTTCAGTTTCATTGCCTTCTCCTTTCAGCCACACCTCTTTTCTTTGGCATTACTGTGGTCACATGCCAAACCAGGTTTGGCCATTTTTCTTTTCTTTTTTTTTGGTGGAGTGGGAACAGAAAGAGTCATTTCCTGTTGGTTTGGCTCTGAAAACAGTCCTGGTAGAAGCTTGGTACAGTTCTTAGAATCCTGGGCTCCAAAATACCTACTTAACACCTTTGCCATGTTCTTGTGGTCACTGATTACGTTTGGAAAAGTGAAGCAGGGGAGGAAGAAGAACCTGGCGGGAGTAGCCTTGGCTACCTGGCTAGTCTCACACCTCTCGGTCAGAGAAAGTGCCCATGTTCTCTGGCACCCAGTGGTATGTTGGGTTGCCAATGTTAAAAAATGCCTTCACCTTTCTCGTTGTTTGGACTCAAGGGTATTCCCAGAACATCTTATGATGAGGAAAGTAAAAATAGTCACCATTGTAACCAGTATAGGAAAAAAACAAAATCTCCTTCCTTACCAACGGATGAGAAGTTTATGTGTAGTTTTCGTAGCTTTAGAGTACTTTCCATATTTCCCTTCCTAGCTACTGGAGCACAGAAGTCTAATTCTGTCAGTAATATATGAAGTTAAACCCCATAGTGGGGGTTTCCAGGGGACTAGGACATTCTTAGAAATCAAATCCAAGAATCATAGAATATTAGTCTTGAGAGGGACCCAGCAGCTGATTAACTCTAATGGGAAGAAACCAAACTGGGGCTGCTGGAGGTCAATGGCCCACTTAAGGTCACGTGACTTTTTAAGGCAAACCAAGACTTCAGCTGAACTCTCCACACTTCTGGTTTGGTGCTCTAGTAACCACAACGTATAATTTTGGGGAAAATACTAATACCATTTATGGAAAAACTCATATTTTTCTGACACTTCCAGGTTGACCAGAACCCTGTACTGCTGCCCTGACTTGTTTGTTAGTCAATAAACTGGAAGCATAGATGCAGATCAGGGCATGTCAGGTGAACCAGTTTAACCTGAAGACATTAAAAAATCATTCTGCAGAAGTAGAGAAAAATCAAATGATTAAGCCTTCACCACAAGTTCTAACACATCATGCTTATCTGTGTTTTCCCTTGTTGAAATGTTCTATCATCTAAGACAGGTCTGTCTTGGCTGGAGAGCTAATCAGAGCCCGTTGAGCAGTTAGCTGTTAGGAGGAGCTCATGTGGTCAGCGTCTTAGGGGCTGGGTAATGAATACCACGGAAACCTCTCCCAGCAGGCATCTCAAGAGATTATGTGTGGATAAATGCTTTGTGGGAAATTATTGTTCTCTCTCAGTCTCCTAATGGGCTGGTGCAAGTGTAGACAGGGAGCAGATCTTTGGTGGCAGTGTCCCTAGCAGCTGGCATAGCAGGCTTGCAATAAACTTGTTGAAGGAGTGAATAAACCACTGATTTCACCACAGTATACATATATAACAGTCAGGCAAAGAACAAAAGAGGTGAGGGGACAGAGCGATTTTAAAGGAAGATGATCTCTTTTGATCCAGAATGAAGATATACTGAAAATGGCTACTTATGGAATAAGCCCTGGTTCTAGCTCCTCGTTTAGAAATTCAAGTGGGCATTTCTCCAAATCATTCCTTAGATTTCACTGATGATCCCTCTGAGCCTTGGTATCTTCATCTGAAAAGTGAGATTGATACAGCACCTACATCCTGGGGTTGCTGTAAGTGAGGGAACCTATATAAACCACTAAGAATGTCTTGGGTTTGTAGTAAATACTAACTAAACATTATTATATAAACTTTCTGTCTTAGCAGCCTTGCATATAAAATAGTGAAAGGAATAGTTCCCACCTCATAGTTTTAAGGTACAGATGAAGTACTGATAACAGAAGCTAATATTTGAGTGCTTCCTATAGACTAAACATTATTCAAGGCATTTTGCATTCATTATTAATCCATTATAAACAACCTGATGAATCAGGTACCTTATTATCTCCATACTGCAGATTAGAAAATGGAGGTTCAGATCGGATAAGCACCTGCTCACACGCAGCTAGTAAATAGTGGAGCCAGGATTGGAACCCAAGTAATTAATTCAAGAGCATCAATCAGAAGGCTATGCTGCTTCTCACAAATACAGGTAAAGGATTTAGCACCGTGTCTGGCACGTATTACGTGCTGATTTATTATATATCAATAAATGTTGCTGAATAAACACTGATGGGTATAGCTTTTTATCATACTTAGTTAGCTGAATGAATTACGTGCTTATTTACATTTTTAATTGTGACTATGGTAGCATTAGGAAATACTACAGCTACTGTCTCTAGTTTTGGAGAGAAAAGCACTAGCTTTGCAAAAACTCTTATTCTTGCTGATCACAGTGGAATCACATCACACATGATTTAACCCATAGGAATTCAACTACTGATGCTTGGCAAAAATATTAAAATACTGTGTGACATTGTAAAAGCAAATTTTGCATACAGAATTTTTATTATGTACTGTAAGTTGCTGAATGCATTATACATTTATACATACATATTAAGATATAGAGTTGTAAGCACAAAACAAAGTACACGGTACTTTGGGGAGACCTGAAAGTATTTTCAAGGGGAATTTTGAATACCTGTGAGTTTCACCTTACATACTACCTTTGGAACCTGACTTCTGTGCAAGGTGAGGGTGCCCTTGCTCCACACAGCATGATATTGGTCATGAGTAGAAGTGAATGGAGAGTGAGGAGACCAGTAGCAATTCTTCCCACTATTAATAATAGCAAGTCATTGATAATATTTAGTTCTCTCTGTGTACCAGGAGCCATGTTAAGCACTCAACATGGATAATCTCATTTAATGCTCATAAAAATCCTATAAAGTAGATATAAGAGAGATCATCCTTCTTTTACAGACGAGGGGAGTGAGGCACAGAGGTAATGAAAGGTGCCATTATGGAAAGCCTATTACACAGCAGGTACGTACCTTATCTCTAATTTTCATCATAACCCTGCAAGGTAGGTAATTATTCTCCTTTTATAGGCAAGAAAATAGAGGCTCACGGGGTTAGGTAACTTGCCCAAGGTCACACAGCTGGTAAGTGACTGAGGGAGGATTGGGGCCCAAATGTTGTGCTCATTGCACCACACAGCCCTCTTCAGGGAGGAAGCAGCCCTCTGCAAGAAGATGCATTTTCAACTGCTTTCAGTTATCCAGTGAGCATAGCGAGACACTGGCTTTACCAGCGATAATGATGATAGTTTGATCTCCCTCTGTCTCCTTGCCTATATTTCAGTTGGTGCCGCATGGGATTTTATGAAGATTGTCATAAAAGTTTGTAAACTGCTTTGACCTCTTTGAAAACAAGACACAAAGTAAACTCCTAGCTGACCATGGCTTTGACCCTAATGCAAGACATCATTTATTTGCCTGAAGTTTTGGAAATTACTACACAATGAGGAGGTGGCTTCTTTCATGCTATTCTTCTAGGTAAACTTGCTTTCTGCTCAAAAAGCCCTGAGGTAGACAGAGAAATGGGAAATAGTCTTTTCTTTCTCAATAGGAGGCTCTACCAACTGGTTGCAAAAGCCAGAACGTGAGTCCTTCTTTTTTCTATCCCTTTTGTCCTGTTCATCAATAAAAGTCCTCTACCTCTAGACCATTCACATCCTTCCACTTAGTGTCATCCTGTAATTCAAGACATCGTCATGTCTTACCTGGAGGGTGACTTAAATTTTCCTGGTTTGTCTGAGACTTTTCAGGTTTTAGTGCTGCAAGTTCCACCCCCAGGGAATCCCTCAGTTGCAGGCAAACCAGGATGTTTGACTTCTCAACTGACCTGGTCTTCTCTAGTAGTCTCCTAACAGGTCTCCCACTTCCCCTGTGTGCTTGTCTTTAATTCTCTCTCCACCCAGTAGCCCACAGAAAGCCCTTGACATCATGTGTTACTGTGTCATCCTTTCTACTTAAAATCCTACCTTCTGAAGAAAATTCAAACTCCTTACCTTGGATTACAAGGCGCTGCATGACCTGGCCCTTTGCTATTTCTCCAACCTCCTCCTCCTTCACTGTGATGCCATTGTCATTTCCTGCCAAGCTCTTCTCCTCCCCAGCACCTTTGCCGCTGCTGTTCCCTTTGCCTGGAATGTCCCTTTCTGGCTCTTTGTGTGTCCACAATTTGTCATCATGTGATGTGTGATGATTTGATTAACGTCTTCCTCTGAGAATGAAAGCTCCTTGACTTCCCGGTTCATCGTTTAATCCCCAGTACCTAGCACTGGGGCTGACACCTAATAAAGTCATGTGAAATATTCACAGAATGAATTAATGAATGAGCAAAAGAATAGATGAATGAATAAGAATAATCTGAAAGGCCAGGGTTGCCAGGGAACAGTGAGGCTGGAGACAGAGGCCAGAGCATGAAGAGCTTCATGGTCATGTCAAGGAGTTGGGACGTTGTCCCAAGTACAGTGGGGGAACTTCTGAGAGGTTTTGAGCCAGGGAGTGACATAACTCCATATACATACTGAAAAACTGAGGGTTGGAGAGGTGAGTAGGGGGCCGCTCAACAAAAAAGCCCTTTAACCCTGGGCAGCTGCAGGAATTAGGGTGTGTGTTTTCGATGGGGCCTGTAGAGCCAACTCAGTATTATTGTTCCCTTGTTTAATTTTCTGGAAACAATCGGCCAATTATGAATCAAAGGCTTCCATAGCTCTGGCCCGTAACTAATTGTGTTTTTAAAATGTGTGTAATCACGAATCAGAGATAATGTAAAGGGCCTAATTAATGTCAAGATTGGCTTCCAATAAGAGCAAGTCACTTGTGCCATTTTTCCAAGGTTGAATTTCATAGTGTACTGCATTGGGCTCACATTCAGGGGAGCCGTGGCCTCTGTCCACTCTGAGTACCTTGTAGCCAGAGTTCATTACATGGATGTGGGTGGATAAGCAGGCACAGGGGACAAGCAAGTGTTTCCATCCACAGTAAATATGGAAGAGTTGGAGAACTGCCACAGAAATAGCACTGGACTAGAGATAAAGAAGCATAGCTCATGACACCTGAGTTGGGATCAAATAGCTCAGAATTCTAAGAAATCGATTGAAATTGTTGAAGAGCTGTGCAATCTTGAACGGGTGACACAAGTTCTCTGAAACTTGTTTTCCTTATCTGTAAAATTGAATGGACTGTTCTATAATCTCCTAGTTGTAAGTTATTTTTCCCTCCTTCGCATTATTTTTTTTAAAGTGTATAGTAAATTACCACTCTTTTTACATAATAACCAGGACACTCAAGGCAGGACACCACCTTCCTTCCTTGCCGTTTTACATCTTCATCTGCTCATCCCACCAGCATTTCAGAATCACTACATCTCACACTGAACCTACCTACCACTCTCCTCTGAACCTGTTCCTCACTTCATTAAAGGTACTGCCACTGAAATATCATTTTCAGCATTCGCCTTTGAAAACTGCCCCCTGCATCCAAGTAGTTTCCAAGATGCTTTGAGTCCACCCCTACAATGTCTCTCATCCTCCTGGCTTCTCTCTTTCTACTGCCTTGATCTTTGCCCATTATTTACTTTTAACACTTTATTATGGAAAATCTCAAACACCTACCAAATAAACAGGATAATGTAATGAATATCTATGTAACTGTCACTCAGCTCCTACAATTACCAATATTATGCCATCTTCCATCCCCTAATCAATTATTATTATTATGCTACAATTAGTTTTAAGCAAAATTTTTTTTCTAAAGCAAAATTTGCACAGCACAAATCTTCACTGTACAAATTTGTCAAGTGGAGACATCCACTTAACCCAGGCTTCCATTATGATGCAGAACATTTTCTACCCCCCAGTTTCTCTGTGTCCCTGCCCAATCTCTCCCCTCCCCCAAAGCAACCACGGTTCCGATTTTCTGATCTTAGATTAGTTTGGCTGTTCTAGAAATTCTTAAAAATGGAATCATACACTCTATCCTCATTTGTGTCCGGCTTTTTTCCACTGAAGATAACGTCTGTGAGATTCCTGCATGTTGTTTTGTTCATTTTTTTTTCATGTTTAAATATTGATGCCCATTGGATGAATAAGTTTGTTTATCCATTCTACTATCGTGGACATTTATTTGGGTTATTTCTATTTTGGGCCATTGTGAATAAAATTACTATGAATGTTTCTGTACAGTTTTTTAATGGACCTGTGTTTTCATTTCTATCTGATACATCCTAGGTATAAAATTCCTGAGTCTCTACATTAGATTTTGTCTGGATGGCTGCAAACGTCTCCTTGCTTCCATGCCTGCCACCTGCTGTCAGCTCTCAAATTCAGACATTAAGCCATATATGCCTTTTCCTAAAGCAGAGCTCTGTCCATGTCAAAAATCTACCCAGGAAGCTCCAGTGGTCCCCATTGTTTTCAGAGTGAAGTCAAACCTGCCTCGCCAGGCATTCAAGACTCCCCACAACTCAGTCTCAACTTTCTTTCCCAATAGTTATTTCCTGTGTCTTCCTGATGCTCTCTGGAGGCTGACAACCTAGTCGCCTTGATATTAGGCTCCTGTAGGATGGTTGCCTAGACAGCACCATCTTACTTAACCTACGGCAATCCTGGCTCTCAGTGGACGGGAACACACTTGCTGGATGGGTTAGTCAATGCTGCCTTGTGTGGCACTCATACCTCTAACCACAGACCCAAGAACATGCCTACGATGTCACTACTGCTTTCTCTCTAGCTTCATAGAAGGTAAGAGATTAAACCAGGTGAAATTTCTCTGGATGCTAAGATTCTGTGATTCTGTGAATTTTACCAAACCCACTGGGTCCAGAAATTCCACATGGTTCATCTCACTGATCTACCAATGGTAGGGGGCTGAGTGGTATAATGGAAGGAACTCAGGAATCAGAGTCAGTTGTCCCAAGTTCTAGTCTTCCTTCTACCATTCACTGTGTATTCTTGGGTAGGTTCATCACCTGAGCCTCTGTTGCCCCTTTGGAGACACTGGGATGAGGGGTGAGGGGTGACCTTGTTGATCACTAAAATCAAACCTAAAGTCACTAGGTTTGATTTTAACTAGTAAACTAGGTCTGCTGTTTCTTTTTGGTTGGCAGGCCCTTTTGCCCTTTTGTGTTCTCTTCCCTGTGCATTCAGTGCACCCTAAGTACAACCCAACTCCTTGCCCTAAACGATCAATTTACTCCTTGCCCTAAACAATCAATGCCAGCAGCCAGAGCACAGTTGGAACACCTAGGTCCTGCCAGCAAGACATCACCTGATGGTGCTAGGAGTTGGTGTCCAGCAACATATTTGCCTGGAGCAGAGATATCTGCTTGAGAGTGCACTGTTGCTACGGGGCCCTCCAAGGAGCATGGAATATCCACCCAGCACACGTAGTTACAAAACTGGCAAGAGTCAGACTTCAGTTTTCCACAAGGGAAATAAAATCTTTATCCCCATCTCGGAGACACTAATCACTTTCTAGCTCTATGGCTTAATTTTTCTTTGTCTCTATTTGCTCATCTGTAAAATGGGAATAATAAAATGTCTATCTTGAAGGTTTTTCAAAAAATAAATGAAACAGATATAGAACACTTAGAATTATGTCTGGCACACAACAAAAGCTCAATAAATATTAGATAATGTCATTATCATCATTAATGTCATTAACAGCATCTTACAGGATGCAGATAACCTTAAGGGATGTGGACCCCACACTACATTCTTCAAGGCTTTAAGGTGTTTACCAAGTTCACTAAATGATTTCATTTCCTCACCTTTAAACACAGATTCAAAACGGAAACAGTGTTTCTAAGTGAGAGCAGCCTTCATTTTCTGTTTTCTTGGAAATGGTGTTTTTAAACTAGAAAGCTCATTTCTTTGAGTCTCCTATCCCTGAGGTCCCATCCGTGGGTGTCTTCCATGGTGACAGCAGTGGTGAGCAGTGGAATCCTGGTACCATCTTGGGAAGAAAGGAAGTGAACTGGCAAACTCTTGGGAGGGCAGAAGCCTACCTCTCATGTTTGTGCCCTTCACGATAAGTGAAGAAAGGAGCGAAGAGAAGAACAGGGTGGCCACAAACAAAAGCTGGAATTGTTTGAGAAATGGACCCTTTTCAGAAGCCTTCAAAGCCACCCTTTCACAAAGCCTGGCAGGCATACAGTATTGAGCCTGGGTGTCCGCCAAGCATGGCCTTAATTTATTATTGCCAAACTGTTTGTTGTCTTTATTTGCCAAGACTTACTAATTGAACGTTTTTTGGTCTGGCTGCCCTTCCAGAGAACTGGAGCTATTGTTATCTGCTCCTCGAGTCCTTCCACAGAATGTGCCAAAAACTTGACCCGAGTTGTGGCTGATTTCCCTCCTCTGTTCAGGTAGCTCTTTTTCTTTCAGGAATGTTGTTGTTGTTGTTTGTTTATTTTTGCTGTGTTACATATTGTTTGTTCAGTTCCAACCCAAAGTAGGTGTTTGGACTGAGCTAGTAGGGAGTTCACTGACCCAAGGTGAGGTCAGAGAGGTCCCCCGCATGGAGGCTTCCTTCTTGGATTTTCCCATTGTGCACCCCCTCTGAGCTCCTGCCACACAGGGAAGAGAAGTTTTGGGCCAATGATTCTTAAAGTGTGGTCCCCGAAGCAGCAGCAGTCTCCCCTAGGAATTCGTTAGAAATGGAAATTCTCAGGCCCTACTTCAGAGCTACCAAATCAGCAACCTGTATTTTAACAAGCTTTCTGGGTGATTCTGGTGTACCCTAAAGTGTGAAACTAGTGCTAGCATTTCTCAGCCTCAGCACTGCTGACAATTAGGGCTCGATGATTTTATAGAGGGGGCTGTACATGATAGGATGTTTAGTAGCATCCCTGGCCTCCAACCACTAGATTCCAGTAGCCCCCATCCTCATCCAATGGGACAACCAAAAATGTCTCCAGTCCTTGCCAAATGTCCTGGGGTGAAGAAGGTAAAATCATCCCTGGTTGAGATAAGGGCAAACTGCTTGTGGTTCCTCTGCACCGTGTTGACAAACAGCTGCCACCCTATCTGGGAGGCTCTTCAGCACACAACAGTGACCAGCACAAAAAGACAGAACCACAGAACAGCAGATCTTGTTTTTCAATCCTGATAAATACTTCCTTTGAATCCACCCTCAGGCAACAGCACGTGACTTTGACTTTCAGAGCTAGTTCTGCTCAGCTGCTTGGGGTATTCAAGAGCAAACAAAACAGAAAACCTTTCAGAGTTTAGGCTCTTCCCATCCTCCTATTTGTTTGTTACCCTAGGGCAGAGGAGACAGAGGGGCTGGGTTCAGAGGTTCGGTGATATACCTCCCAAGCAGAGTGACAGGAATGGTACTAGTCTTCCGAATCTTCCCTCTCTCACCTTCAGGATAGATTTCCTTGTGCTTTTCTGGGCAAGTATTTCTCAATGCTCATTCTATAGAGTTTCTATCATTGGGTTCTTAATGTTGTTGCATTTGTGGCTTGCATTTGAAGGATACCCATATCAGGAAATTTGCTACTAGGCTTTATTCCCACACTGTCATTTCAGCGTTTTGATAATGTTTCCACTCGAGGAAGCTGGACTTGGCAAAAATCAGCTTGAACTGACTCAGCCGAACCTAAAGTCAATAGCTCATACAAATGCCAACTAAAGATCACAATTCATTTGCTCGTTTGGTTGGGATCTATTGAGCACCTGCTATATGCCGGCTCTGTGCTAGATCCTCAGAATGTGGAGAGAGAAACATCGTGCCTCTGCCTGGAGGGAGCTCACTGTCAGACAAAGGTACAAGCCATCTCAAACAGAACGCGGAGTTCTTGACATAAGAGGGAAGCACAGAGCATCCTGACATCCTGCTTCACTGTTGAATCCTCAGTGTCTGGCACATAGGAGGAGCTTAATAAACATTTGTTGAATGGTCTTAGAGGGACATGATTTTACACAGACTAGGAAGGTTTAAAAAAAGTCTAGTCAAATAAAGTGCTACTTAGGTTTTCAAGGAAAAAGCAAGAGTGAGCCATGCAGAGAGGAGAGGGAAGGGTATTTGAGACAGAGAAAATGGCAGGTTCAAGGACAGTGAATAGGAATATGAATCAAAGCCTTGCATGGACTTCACAAAGGTCTGAATGAGATGTCTGAAGAAGTAATTTTCTGGTTGTCCATTGCTATATAACAAATTACCCCCAAACTTAGTGGCATAAGCCAATCATTTTGTTTCCGCTGTAATTTTGTCAGTAAGGGATGTGGAAGGGCTTGGCTGGATGGTTCATCTCTTTGTTCATTTGGCATCAGCTGGGGCATCTGGGGCTGACGGTCCACCTCCAGGATGGCATCTTCGGGCTTCCCTGGTGGCGCAGTGGTTCAGAGTCCGCCTGCCGATGCAGGGGACACGGGTTCGTGCCCCGGTCTGGGAGGATCCCACATGCCGCGGAGCGGCTGGGCCCGTGAGCCATGGCCGCTGAGCCTGCGCGTCCGGAGCCTGTGCTCCGCAACGGGAGAGGCCACAACAGGGAGAGGCCCGCGTACCGCAAAAAAAAAAAAAAAAAAAGAGCAAAAGTGATTTGGGGGTGGGAGGGCTAAAGGCTGGGTGTTTGGGCATGGGTGTCATACAGTGAGACTATGACGAAAATTCAACTTATCTGAGGGCTTCTGACATCCTTCCCCACACAACTAAAAATAGCTCCCTTCAAAATGAGAGAAGAAAGACATAGTTTTCCATTCCAGGAACTGAATGGGGCGTAAATGGCAGCTGGCAACTGAGCTTGCCCTTAGAGGCTTAATGGCCACACATTTTTCAGGTTGGGTAGGAGCTGCCACTGAGGAAAACAAATAGGATTGGTGTGAAAACTATTAGAAAAGGGCCTCAGAACAAAGGCTCCATCTGGCAGCTGTTGCTCAGAGCTGAGTGAAATAAACAAAAGAGTTTGTTGAGCAAACATGAAAGCAGCCTAACTGATGCAATTAAGGTGAAATTAAATAAAGGAAGGTTTTAGCCCAAAGCTCACGGAAAATTTTTCACAAGGTTGTCACTGGTATAGTCATTTTGGGCTTTTAAATAAAGAGAAGCACAGGATGTGGGAAATTGACCCATTTGACCCTTAGGAGTAGACTAAATCCAGTGTGCTGATGTGGACTCCACGTGTCAGTTGTTTGGCCCTGGCTGTCCAAACTTGGGATGGGTGGGGTAGGAGGCTGGTAGGACCAGGGAAGGATGGGACAGCGGCAGTCACAAGGGAACAACTAAGGTAGGACCTTAGGAACAACTAAGGTAGGACCTTAGTCCTAAGGTAGGACCAGGGAAGGATGGGACAGCGGCAGTCACAAGGGAACAACTCAGCAAGACCAGAATTGTCCTGGTCATCATATTACTCCATTTTGTTTGCTTCTTGACACCACTGTCTGAGAGGTGTTGTTCATTGCACCTTACATGTTTACTATCTGTCCTCCCCGTCCAAACACACACATGCACACACACGTGTACACACACTATGGAATTCTGGATCTCCTTGGAACGTATCTTTGAGACTCCTATTTGGCTGGGTTAAGACCCCCAAATACTGAAACCCAAAAGCAAATACCTGTACCTGACACCTCAGAACTGTCCCATGGGAAATTTATGTCTGAAACCAATTCAAACTAGCATGTTTATTTAACAAACAATTACATAGTCCTTCCTGTATGCCAGGTACAATTCTAAGTGTTTTACAAGTATTAATCCAATCCTATGAGGTAAGGATACTCTTATCTCCATTTCTGAGATGAGGAACATCAATAGAAAAGTCAAGGAGCTTGTCTGAGCCAGTACTTGGGGAGCCAGGATTTGAACCCGGGCTCGGCACCCTAGCAAACACAGTCTTTACCCCTACACTGGGCCCCCTTGAATTGCCGTCAAGTGGTGGCTGAGGGAGCTGGATGGTGAAGTACCGATTGCTAAGTACAAAGCTCATCCTTCCGCCCAAATGGTGGATAAGAGGAGAGACATCTAGAAAGGTTGAAAGCACATACTGATTGACTGATGCATTGACAATGATTAGAAAATGGGCTTCTCAGAATAAAGGATGAATGCATTGTGTGGAACTTATAGTCCTTTACAAGTAAATGTATGAAACTTAAAAAATCTGATTAGAGGAAAATTAGGAGCTTAAGAAAAAAAAAACAGGTAAAAGATATGGGTAAAAGGAAAAGATGCAAATTCATAGAGTTAAAGACAATTTCAGAAATAATTCTAGTTTAATTCCCTCATTTCACAAATGATGAAAGTAAGACCTAGGTCAAGAGTTGTTAAAATTTAATGTTCATTAAAAATACCCAAGGAGCTTGTTACAAATGCAGATGCTGGATATTACTCCTAAACCCCTAACGGAGATGACAAATCAGTTAATAGCTGACTCATGACTTCCGGCATGAAGCTCTGGAATCTGTCTTGTATTGACAGATTTAAAGACTGGAGTTGGTCTTTAGGTGACTCTGATGCAGGTGGTCCAGGGATCACACTTTGAAATACACCTAGAAATAGACCAACCTAGAGATGAAGGCCTTTGTTCAAGCCTCATACCTACTCAGTGGCAGGTCCCTGCAACCTCGCACCAGAGTCTGTTTGCATTAGAGGTTACATTTTAAACACGTTTTTACAGGTCCAAAGCCACTTCGGTAGTCTTGGAACATCACCTATATTATGTATAATTTGGTTAGCATATCATTATTTAATTAGTTTTTCCATGTTTATGATTTAAAAGTAAACTCAGAACACAAGCTATTGAACTTCAAGGAAACGTCCCTTAGTTTTTGCCACTTAATGATAAGCAGTAAAAAGGTGAGACAGAAATCATGAACACACATGTCAAAGACTTGTTCTCTGACCTATCTGTTCTCTCATAGAATTAGTGTAATAGGGAAAACATTTATTTTCAGAAGGGGGGCAAAGAGAAAATAATAACCCCAAACTCAAATATTATAATTTGTTTAATTTAGAACTTATTTGAATCATTTTTACACCTTTACTGAGATAGAATTTACATACTGTAAAATGTATTTTTTGTAAGTGGATGTTCCAATGAATTTTAGTAAATTTATAGAATTGTCTACCAACATCCAGTTTAAAATATTTCAATTGACCAAAAGTTCTCTTGTACTTACTTGCATTTAATCCCTGCTCCCAACCCCAGCTCCAGGCAACCACTGACTTTCTGTCTCTATAACTTTTCCTTTTCTAGAAATTTCCTATTAGTGGACTCATAATATGTAGTCTTTGTATCTGGCTTCTTTCACTTAGCATAATATTTTTGAGATATATCCATGTTGTTGCATGTATCACGCTTTTTTTTATTGCTGAGTAGGATTCCACTGTATGAAGACAACACAATTTGTTTATCAATGCACCAGTTGATGAGCACTGAAATGTTTCCAGTTTTTTGCTCTTACAATAAAATGCTGCTTGATCTCACTTATATGTGGAATCTAAAAAAGCCAAAAACATAGAAGCAGAGAGTAGAGCAGTGGTTACCAGGAGTGGAGAGGTGGGGGAAACGGGGAGATGTGGTCAAAGGGTGCAAAATTGCAGTTGTGTTGAATGAATAACTCTAGAGGTCTAACGTACATGATGACTACAGTTAAGAATACTGTTTAAATACTGGAAATTTTATAAGAGAGTAGATTTCAAGCTCTCTCATCACACACACATGAGGATTAACTGTGCAAAAAGATTAACTCTGAGGAGATGATACATTAATTAGCTTGACTGTAGTAAACATTTCACTATGCACGTCTATCAAATCATCATGTTGTACACCTTAAATGTATACAATTTTTGTTAAGAAAAGAAAAATACTGCTATAAACATCTGTGTGCAAGTCATTGTGTGAACATTCTTTTTTCATTTCTCTTGGGTCAATTCCTAGGAGTGTAATTGCTGGGTCGTATGTTTAATTTTTCTTTTTTTTTAACAACTTTATTGGGGTACAATTGCTTTACAATGGTGTGTTAGTTTCTGCTTTATAACAAAGTGAATCAGTTATACATATACATACATTCCCATATCTCTTCCCTCTTGCGTCTCCCTCCCTCCCACCCTCCCCAGTATGTTTAATTTTTTAAGAAATTGTTAAACTGCTTTCCAAAGTGACTACACCATTTTGCATTGTCACCAGTGACGTATGAGAGTTTCAGTTGATCCATTTCCTCATCAGGTCTTGGTATTGTTGGTCTTTTAAATTTTTTATCATTCCAGTCTATAAGTAATAATATCTTCTTGTGGTATTGTTTTTCCCTAATGATATATGATGTTCAGCACCTTTTCCTGTGCTTATTGTAGTCCATATATCTTCTTCGATGAAGTGTCTCTTTCAAGTACATCGGCCATTTTTAATTGGGTTGTTTGTCATCTTATTATTGAGTGTAAAAGTTCTTTATATATTTTGATCATATCTGCATTATAAGATACATCATTTGCAAAATTTTATTCCAGTCTGTGGATTGTCTTTTTATTTTCTTAATGGTGCTTTCTGAAATGCAAAAGTTTTTTATTTTGATGTAGTTCAGTTAGTAAATGTTTTTACTTTTTATAGATTGTGGTTTTGATGTCACATCTAAGAACTATTTGCCTAACCCAAGGTCAGAAAGATCTTTTCCTATGTTTTCTTCTAGAAATTTTATGCTTTTAGCTCTAAAGTTTAGGTCTACGATCTATTTTTAATTAATATTTTATGTGTAAAGTGAGGCAGAATCTAAGTTCATTTTTTTCATATGGATATCCAATTATTTCAGCTTCATTTTTTTTGAAAAGACTATATTTTCCCCCATTGAATTACTTTGGAATCTTTGTTGAAAATCAATGGAACAAAAATATATGAATTTATTTCTGTTCCACTGTTTTATATGTCTGCTCTTATGCCAATACTGCAATGTCTTGATTGTTGTAGGTTTATAGTAAGTCTTCAAGTCAAGTAATATAAATCCCCTAACGTAGTCCTTTTTTTTCAAAATTCTTTTGGCTATGCTATGTTCTTTGCATTTTCATATTAATTTTGGATGTGTTTCTCAATTTATACATACAAGCCTGCTGGGATTTTTGTAGGATTTGTTTTGAATCAATAAATTAATTTGAGAAGAATTACTATTCTAACAATACTGAATCCTCCAATCTATGAAAAGTGTATGGCTTTTCGTTTATTTAGATCTCTAATTTCTCTCAGAAATATTTTTTGGCTTGAGTATCTTTCACTGCTTATGTTAAATTATTCCTAAGTATTTTACCCCTTTTGAAGCTATATGTATTGAATTATTTTCTTAATCTCATTTCTGGATTGTTCATTGCTAGTATTTCACTTTAGTATTGCTTCTTGAGGCAGTTTTGATAATATATGTCTAAGAATTTGTCCACTTCTTCTAAGTTATTCAATTTATTGGCATAAAGTTCTTCATAATCTTCCTTATAATATTTTAATTTCTGTAGGTTTAATAGTGATTGTAGTATAGTGATTTTATTCGTGATTTTATTCCTTTCTGTTGTCCCTTTTTTCTTGATTAACCTAGCTTAAGGTTTATTAATTTTGTTGATCTTTACAAATTATTAACTTTTGGTGTGATTAAATTCTTTTGTTTTTTGTTTTGATTTCCAATCTGATCTCTGTTTTTTCTTCCTTCTATTTATTGTAAATTTTATTTACTCTCCTTCCTTTGTTTCTTGGGATAGAAGGTCAGGTTATTGATTTTTAATTTTTTTTTCTTTAGAATATAAGCATTTAAGTTTACAAACTTTCCTTTCAGCACTGCTTTAGCTGCATACTACAAATTTTGATATGTTGTTTACATTTTCTTTCAGTTCAAGAAATTTCCTAATTTCCTTTGTGATTTCTTCTTGTACCATGGGATATTTATGAATGTGTTAATTTTCAGATAGTTGAAAATTTCCAATATTTCTTTCTGTTGTTGATTTTTAATTTAGTTCCATTGTGGTCAGAAAACATACATGTGGTTATTTCAAATTTTTTACATTTACTGAGACTTCTTTTAATAGTTTAGAATATGGTCTATCCTACAGAATGTCCCATGGGTGCTTAAAAAGAATGTGTATTCCACTGCTATTGGGTGGAGTGTTTTATAAATGTCTATATGTTGGGGTGGAATAAAAGGATGAATAAGACATAATATTGCCCTCTAAAAGTTTAGATCTGACTGAGCAGTCATTCTCAGCTTTGGGCAATTTTGTCCCCAAGGGACATTTGGCAATGTTTGGAGACATTTTTGGTTGTCACAACTGGGGGCATGTGCTACTGGCGTCTAGTGGGTAGAAGCCAGGGATTCTGCTAAACACCTTACAGTGTACAGGACACTCCCCTACAACAAAGAATTATCTGGCCCAAAATGTCAGTAGTGCTGAGGTTTAGAAGCTCTGTTATAGAGGGCATAAAGGGTATTTAGTTATAATGCAAAGCTTCAGATAGTAATTTCTGTGCTATGGGAATTACTGCACTGTGGCTGAAATTGATCAACACTTTAGCAGTTACCACATCTCTCACATGTGTATTTGTCTGTCTTTCTCCCTAGGCTGTGAACCACATGAGTGTTGAGATCCACCCAAGTCCTTATGGTAGTTAAAGCAGAGCATCTGAAGTCAGACAGACTTGGATTTCAATCCTCTTTCTACCTTCACTAGACACGTGTCTTTGGGCTAGTTACTTTACCTCTCCTAGCCTCAATTTTCTCTATTGTGTAATATGAACAATGTACCTACCTTGTAGGATTGTTGTGACAATTAAATAACGAATCAAGGAAGGCACTTTATATAGTCCTAGCACATATACTCATTATTTTGTTGTTGTTGTTATCTCCAGCACTTAGCCCAGTGCCCTGCAAATATATGCAAATAGATGAATGAGTAATTGAGTCATCTTCTCTCACCTTCCTTACCTCCACAATGGGACACTGGCTCTACAAAGTAATCCTCACTAGGATGAAAACAGTCTCTTCTTATTCCTGGACGAAGCCTTAGTTTCCACAGAGGAGGTCTTCTATGCCTACAGGAAATTGACAGGGGTCCAAACAGGACAAATAAGTGCAAGACAAATAGAGGCTGACCTCATTTCCACCCTTGAGACTCCTATTAGCCTGATATGAAATGATCATGTGGGGAGGCAGCGAGGTTCCTGTCCCAAGGAGACCCATGATGCTGTTCATCAGCTCAATTCTGGACCATCTTCCCCAGTTCTGCTTCAGAGAAGTAGTTCTTTCTTCTTAATGGCTGTCACCTGCCAAAACACTCTCCACCCCATTCCTGAGTCTTGGGCACTTCCTCCACACTAGGAACCTCTCCCAGATAGTCCCATTGCCTGTTAGGCAACTTCTTTCGATCAATGTTAAAAGCCTTTGGACTCCTCCCTAAGTACCTCACCTCCTGTCCCCACCTACTTCTGAGCGACCTGGCAAAGACCACATCTGTGAATCAGTTTGCTAACTCTTAAAAGGGGTGGGTGAGGGCGAAGCTTTGACAACCTGATTTCTCACTGTGTTTGCTTTTGAGGGAGGAGTTCACAGTGAAAGAAAGCATCACTTTAAGCCTCTAAAGAGCCCCTTGGTATATGAAGCAGGATTCACATAGAGCCTGAGAACCGCTAAGCAACCAGGAAGACACTGAGTGAAGAGAAAGCTTAGAAGCAGGAAGGGGTCAAGTTCATTTAGCATAGAGTTCATGGCTCCATTTTAACAACTGGTTCCTAATATGCCTAAGGTTAGCAAGCATCTCAGGGCTTGCTTCAAACAAAATCTGAAGCCATTCCCCTTATTGAAATCTATTATTGCTTCATTGATTGACGTTCTTAATCCTCATAACCAAAAAACGCAATTATTGCCTTTATGGAGTTTCTTTGTTCAGTTATGTACATAGAAACGTGCCTTCCCTGATGACAATATACAGCACAGATCAAGGCAATGTAAGATTAAAGTGATCTGGACCCAGAAGAACTAAAGCTATATGCATCAGAGAGCATGAGGGACAGAGCATTGACCTTATTTTTTTTAAATCATGAAAAAGACTCCCCATTTTCTGTTTTTTTGTTTTTTGTGGTACGCGGGCCTCTCACTGTTGTGGCCTCTCCCGTTGCGGAGCACAGGCTCCGGACGCGCAGGCTCAGCGGCCATGGCTCACGGGCCCAACCACTCCGCGGCATGTGGGATCCTCCCGGACCGGGGCACGAACCCGTGTCCCCTGCATCGGCAGGCGGATTCTCAACCACTGCGCCACCAGGGAAGCCCCCATTTTCTGTTATTTTAATATTAGGGACTTATAACAACTATTTCTACTTTGTTGAAATTTAAACATTATAAAGAAAATAGTAAAAGCTAACATTCTTGAGTGCTGTGTGCTGGATATTTTTCTAAATCCGTTATATGAATAAATTAATTTCATTCACTCATTAAATACTTCTTGACCATGGATTAGGGGCCGGGCACTGTTCTAGGTTCTGGGCATATAGCAACAAGCAAAGCCTTCAAAAATTCATGCCTTCATGGACCTTACACTCCCTGGGGAAATCAATATGCAAATAAATATGCAGATTATATAGTATGATACAAGGCAGAAATCACTGCTACTGAAAAAAATAAAGCTAGGCAGAGGGGTAGAGAGAGTTGGGTATGGGGTACTGCAATTTTCAATCAGGCATTTAGTGGATGCCTCACTGAGAAGCTGTCATTTGGCCAAAGACTGGAAGGCAATCTCAGATTTAATAATCTCACATTTAACAGTGTTGCTTTTGGGTGTTTTTGTTTGTTTGTTTGTTTACTAAACCTTGGACCAACACTCTAAGCCCCCAGTAAATCTGTATGAAACTCTACATTTTGTAAATGACTGAGCCAAGGTCAGGTACCAAGCGAGCCAAGCATGAAGTCACCCACATAGTCCCTGGTCTCATTTTGTGGTGGATCTAAGTGCTGTTGATTTTCCATGTTACTTGGAGGAACTAGAGGTGTGCTTCTGAGGGCACGTTGGTATCATGGGCATCTGGAGGGGTCTTCTCTAGACCATTCTTCCCCAGATGGATCATAATATGCTTTTCCTTTTTTTTTTTTCAATAAATGTATTTATTTATTTGGCTGCATTGGGTCTTCGTTGTTGCGGGCAAGCTTTTTCTAGTTGCGGCAAGCAGGGGCTACTTTTCATTGCAGTGCGCAGGCTTCTCATTGTGGTGTCTTCTCTTGTTGCGGAGCATGGGCTCTAGGTGAGAGGGCTTCGGTAGCTGTGGCACACAGGCTCAGTAGTTGCGGCTCATGGGCTCTAGAGCGCAGGCTCAGTAGTTGTGGTGCACGGGCTTAGTTGCTCCGTGGCATGTGGGATCTTCCTGGACCAGGGCTTGAACCTATGTCCCCTGCACTGGCAGGCAGATTCTTAACCACTGCACCACCAGGGAAGTCCTTTCCCTTTTTTTTTTCATTGCCCGATTCCCCAGTAATGGAATTTCTTATTGACAGAATTGAGCTGGATGCTAATACTCAGACCCTCCGTGTGTGAACAAAGAACAAATGGACCAGGCCTTCCAAGGATTATGGGGAGTCTCAGCCCCTGAATCTGTGACCCAGTCATGACTTTGCTTCTACCATTCTGTCCAGCTTAAACCTAGGCTGTTGTTTTCCAAGTTCTTCCAGATGCCTTCCCCAAGCCTCTCAGCTACCCACCCCTCCAAAACCACCTCACTGCCCTGCCCAAGCCAAGTCAGCTTTGGAAGGTGTAATATCGAAGGCTCCCCTTTCCCTTAAAGATAATTGTATTTTAAGACTTATTTCTAACTCTATCAGTGGAATTTTAAATATCAAGAAAGTAAGAAGTTGTGGCACACGGGCTTAGTTGCTCCACGGCATGCGGGAATCTTCCCAGACCAGGGCTCGAACCCGTGTCTCCTGCATTTGCAGGCGGATTCTTAACCACTGCGCCACCAGGGAAGCCCTCTTCTGTCTTTCTTATTACTGCTGATCACTGCTATTTAACTGGCTATTTTCCTAGGTAGAGCAAATATTTCAACAGATAGGAGCCATGATAATCCTCACCCACAAGGAGGAAAATTACAGAGAAAAGAACATCTAAGAGAAGTTAGAAAAAACAAACAAGCCAACAGAATGGATGTTAGAAAGTAGAGAGCCATAGGGAACTCATTTGTTTGTTATCAATAGATCAACTGACATTCTTGCGGTGTCAGAAACTTCCCTTGCACTAATGTGTCTGCCCATTTCCTGGACTCCATATGAGTGCAAAGCAGCATGTTAATCATTGTGGGAAAATCCAAAAGGAATAGAATATGTTTGCATATCACCTGAATAGCCCTGTGTTGGCTACTGACCCTTCCCTTTATCACCACCCCCTCTCTCTACCCATGTTCCCTGCATTTCCTAAATGAACTACTTGCATTCAAATTCATGTCTCAGTGTCTGCTTCTGGGAGAACCCAAAGACCCTTAGTAAGTGGTGGAGCGGGGTTTGAACCCAGACCACAAACCCAGTTCCTTCACTTACCACCTGTGCGAACTTGGGCAGACCACTTAAACTCTGAGTCATATTTCCTCCTCTATTAAATAGGGATACTAATAGTAACTCCCTCATAGTATTGTTGTGGATATGATATTTTAAAATATTTTTTTCTTAGACTTGGTTCAAGATTACAACTTCGGAAGATCCTGAACTCACCCCCTCCCATGGATACAACAAATCTACACCTACATATGGAATAATTCCTTTGGAAAGGGACCTGAAAACTGGATAAATAGAACCTCCACAACAAAGGGTAAAAGGACAGCATCGAGATGGGTAGGAGAGGCAAAGATATAATTTCACCAAAGAAAAAGAACACACCCAGCTGCAGTGATCCACAACCAGGAGTTATCACAAAGGTACGGATCTATTCCCTAAGAAGTGAGGAATTTAAGCTCCCTGTCAGGCACTTCAACCCCTAGATCCTGTACAGGAGAGACAAGTCCCCCATACACCTGCCTTTGAAAACGAACAAGGAATACACCCAAGGAAAATTATATAACTGCAGGGAGTGGAAAACCCACTCTTACAGTGCTTGTGCGCAGACTCACTTGCCACAAAATCTGGCTCAAAACAGCAGATTGAAAAAAGTGCCTGGACCATAGGTGAAGAGGATCCATTTACTAATCTCGAAGCATCTGCCAGAGAGACAGGGACCAGCTGGGACGCTGGGCGGACTGACACAGTCAGTGTCAATTCCAAATGGCAGGAGCCATTTTTGCAGACTCAGGCTACCTTCATAAGACAGGGGATAGCGGGCGCCATTTTGGAATTCTCTACAGGTTAGCACCAGTGCGCATGCCCTGCTGAAAGCCCGGCGCACTCCAGCACCTCCACTGAGCCTCAGCCTGCTAAGCGACAAGGCTGCCCACCAGCATTATGCAGCAGCCACTGAGAAGCAGCCTGGGGGCTAGCCCCGCGCACCAGAGCAGGACAGCTGTAGCCAGTGGACCCTCTACAAAATGGGCTCACGCAGCTCACACAGGGGACACTCCTTGAACACCTGGTTCTGGTGGCCTGGAGCGATTGGACTTCTGAGCAACATAGGACATCTCCTATATAAGGTAGGGGTAGAGGGGACGGGGGAATTGGATGAAGATGGACAAAAGGTACAAACTGCCAATTATAAGATAAATAAGTACAAGGGCTGCAAGGTACGACGTGATGAATATAATTAACACTGCTTTATGTTATATATGAAAATTGTTGTGAGTAAATCCTAAGGGTTGTCATCACAAGAAAAAATTTTCTTTTATTTTGTATCTATATGAAATGACAGGTGTTCACTAAACTTATGTTGGTGATTGTTTCATGATGTATGTAAGTTAAATAATTTTGCTGTACACCTTAAACTT